TCACTGTGTGAGAAATACTTTCCACTGTCAAAATGCAGTGCACTGAGCAATAATTACCTTTAATAGGTATAAAAGACATTCAGCATCTTCTAGATTCTAGCTTCTGACTGCAGGGAGGGATCTCGCTAGTGACTTAAAATAATAAATTGTATAAACTGAAATGGCAATACCATCCAGGATGGTTTAGTCTAGTTATATAGAAAAGTAAACGTAGATGAAAGGGTTCAACAATTCTTTTGAATGTAAGAATTGCCATACAAGATGAAGCCAATGATAAATCTGTTATATTTTCTGTGAGCATTCAGATGAAGACTTCAAGGAATGGTATAAAAATTACACATTATGGATAGCTTTGGCATAATTTGTTTTCAATTTATATTTGAAAGGTTGTACTCTAAGACTAGTATTAGATCAAAAACTGGGCAATAGTCAGGCTGAAAAAAATTCAGACATGTTTGTGCAAGGATTTGTAGCTTCTGCTGAAGACAATGGGAGTTCTACAAATGAAAGATGTGTAGGATGGACCCCCCTTTTTTTTTTTTTTTTTTTTTCTTTTTTTTTTTTCATCCTATGTCAAGAACACCAAAAAAGTGGTTCTGGTCTCACGTACAATTTTGAATAAAATCAGATTGACCATCATTATGCTGTTGCTAACATAAACCTTGTTTCTTGTGTGACTAAACTCCCAATAGGCAAACACCATCTGTCTGTTGAAGGAAAAGAGAAGTCACCACGGAGACAATGTCTAACTCGTTAGGAGTTGAGAAACATGAAGTCTACTGCAAAAGCTGTGTAGCAAGATCGTTAGAAATCTCTAACTCCACATTCAGTGCCTTTGTTTGTTGAAGTTCTGCCTTTGATATTGAAGAAATTGTCCCGTATTAAACTAAGGATTTTTTCAAAGAATTTTTCTCCAGACCCAAATTCAGATCAGGGGCCACCGTGTGAAATTTTACTGACTTTCTTGAAACAGTATGGTCTTGGAAAATTATCTTACAGCTAAGAACATGGAAATTCAGATTGTGATAGGGCAACATAAATCGTAGTGGCACATCAGTTTACTCTTGCAGGAATAATGAGCATTGTTTACTGCACTAAAATGTTTCTTAAGTGCTGTTTCTCTGCAATATTGATAGGAACTTGGAAAAAACAGTGACCGGTTCAGGCATTTAAATTTCAACAAGTGCTAAAAGACACGTCTTTGTTTTCGATTTTATTAGTGTAAATATAAACATACACTTTAAAAAAAGTTGTTTTAGCTGAAATAATAGTTGCATACTCTCTGACTTAATGAAGTACTATAATTTTGGAAGTTATCTGTTTTTTCATCCTGCTCTAGAATGATATTAAAATTTTATAAACCAGATAAAATCAAATTAATAGCACGCAAAAGAGCTAAGTCAGCAACTTTAAAGTACGTGGAAAAGTATGCTTCTTTTGCAGAATACAGCTGCCTTCTAGCAGGACTGCACAGTCGTTTCAATAGATATGAAAGGTGGATATTTCCAATTGACTAGTCTCAGATCCGTAGGTTTGGAAAGTCGTTGCCTGGGGAGAGGCAAGCAGCAGTAGGATTCCTACAGAAGAGCTGTCCAGCACCCGTTGTGGTGGCTTGTCTTTTCTTCAGCATCTTCCAAATGAGAAACGCCACGCTGAGCTGCCTTGGATACCTTCTGTGAGATCTTAGGTATAATTGGAGCGTGTGTGATTTTGAGTCTCATCAGAGAAGTGGAACCTTTCTTTAAGCACTGCCTGTGCAACATCTGTAAAGCAATTTGTACTTGGCAACACTGATCATCATCTGAAGAGTGCAGCAGGTATGCAGCTTAGCCACTCTTAACCATGTAATCAGATTGATTTACAGTCTTTGTGATTTGATATTTTGCTAGCAATTTTTGTTGATATGGGTCCATGAAAGAACAACAATCTCTGTTAGCAAAACGTGGTGTTGTTATAGGTGGATATCTCTGGTTCAGGATACTGGAGCAAATGAATGCTTTAGTATAACCCCATTGTTAGTTGTTAGTGTGAACGTACATTGCTCTTGATGTTCTGATCCAATATTTCCAGCAGAAACTGAGAGGTTTGTATTTGACCCTTAAAACTGAGAGCAAAATTGCAAAGGACTACATGGAAGTAGGAATCAAAGCATGCAGTGATATGTGCAATCATGAAACACTTTCCAGAGATGTCCATGGCAACTAAAAGTCATAACTTTATGGGATAACAAAAATTTCAATAGCTATCTCAATAGAAATATTGGCTTTATGGTAAGTTGCAATTCCTCTTCACTTTCCTCACTTAACCTTTTCGTGTTCCCCAGGCTATAAATTACTGATCTCTTTCTTTCCATTAGAAGATAAGCACCTTATCACCTCTCCTCTTTTCAGACATCCTTATCAGTCCACAGGCAGTAAGCATCTTTACTCCCAGGTGGTCTAATTGATACATATCTAACTAAAGGCAAAGCATTTTTTCTCAAATTGCATTCAGCTTTGAAGTACGTATCTTTGATTTCACATCTGAAGAACAGCTTCATGTGCCTGAAAGTTCTCCTTTTTCCAGCTGTACTAGTTGGTCAAATAAAATATACTACCTCTGTCCACAAACTTTGCCTTGCCTGTGTACCAGTGCATTCATTTGTTGTTGGTGAAAAAGAGAAGACAATTTTTCATTTAACTAGTTAAAAGGTATGTATGAGACCTGCAGCTCTGCAGACCCTTGAAGATTAGTAGAAGACACTAAACTGTGATGAGACTGAGAAGAAAAGGATTCAGTAGAGACTAAGGTAGATAACTGAATTAGCAAGAAAAATAATTTTAGGGCTTATCTCTGAAATAGGGACATTTTGTGTGAAAGAGGTATCAGCAAGGAGAGAGCTGACTGTATAGGCAGGAGATGGTCCCAGCATCAGATTGTTTAAAGAGCATTATTCTACTTACCATTTTAGTGAATGTCTTAGGTATATTTCTGTGTAGTGAGAGGGTAGATTCTGTAACATTATATAGGATAAAGAAATTACCATTCTAATTAAAAAAAAAAAAAGGCCATTAATTCTCACCAATTAAGAGGAGAAAGGAGAGGCAGAAATATTGTGTGTATAACACTGAAATTTCCAGGCGCCTCTAAGCTGCGTAGCCAGCACTTACGCAGAGATTTACTGTTTGTTTGGGGTTTTTTTCCAGACATCACAAGGATCACATTTTCACAATTAATTGGCCTGACCTGTATGACACTCGCTAGTTTTATGACATCTGTATCTTTTCTTTTTTTCCTACACCTCTTTTTTACTAGTTCCAACAAGTGTTCAGAGTGGGTTATTTTCTTCACTGTGAGGAGATATTTGATGAAAGGTAATGGCAAAAAAATCCACTGAAATTACCCAATTAGATTAGACAAAAAGAAAATAGATCCAATGTACCTCATCCCCCCGCCCAGAGCACCCTTTTGCCTTTAAAGAACCTTTTTATAAACTTGAGGCATTTATAGTACTTTTGAGTTATCAGCTGAAAGGCACTTTTTTGATGCAAATCATTTGCTTCACTGTTGTAGTGTGTGGCTGGCAAGGGAGTAGGAGGTGTCCATTCAGCCTAGAAGGGAAATCCCTGGCGCCTGAGCAAATGATCCTGCAGGATGCAAGTTCTACATTTCTTACCTTCTTGAGGCCTGCCTGCTGCAGGGGAATGAGATGAGTTTGTGTGAAATTTGAAGAACATCTGTAGGGAGATCTCCATGATCCTATTCCTTATAGTTTTGTTAGCAAGACTGTCTTGTTGGCAGTTGTCACTAAGGTCTGTGATAGTTTGGGGTTTTCTTTCCCAGCTAATTGCTCTTTTGAATTGGGCTTTTTGGGCTTTTAAACGTCTGTGATAAGATTGCTGTTTATAATATGTAATAACCACAAGAATCTCAGAGACTTTTCTGAGGGCAGACTGTCACTATGCTTTTGTTTGCTTATGCTGAGCTAGTACTTGGCAGCTTGTGTAGTAGCTCAGCCATTCTCTAAATTAACAGGTTGTTCTTTGTATTTGAAGTGATTGATGTGATTGAAGTGATTAGCATGTATATGCCTAAATAAATTAGTTTGGGGGAGAGAGGGATCCAAGTGGAGAAAACTGGATAGGTCCAAAGACAGTTTGTTGTAAGAACCATGATCAAGAATGTGGAAAGGACTTAAGTGAGAATAAAATCTCAGACCAGAAAAATATGTGGGAAAGTACAATTTTACTCTAAAATCTTTGCTAATGAAAGTTCAGGGATCTAATTCTTGTTATATTTCTCTGGGGGCAAAAGCCATGGTGCAGATGCAGACTTACTGAGAAAAAAAAATCAGTTGCTGGTACAATTTATTTTTCTGTGGTAGCAATGTTGGTTCAACCCTCCTGGGTTTTGGCTTCCTAAGTAACTCAAGAGCCTATATAAGAAGGAACATGTAAGTGCTTAAATTCGTTTTAATAATATTGCCAAATCACTTGTCTCAAACTTATTTTTGAAGGACTTAGAGTCTACATGGGTTTTTTCTTAAGAGCTGGCACTCCTGTTTCTGTGAATCTGCAGTAGTTCTCCTGAATCTTTTTTGCAGGGCTTTGTTATATGGCATTGTCTTGGCGTGACAGGACAATCCTGTGTCCCATAGAATTTTTAGAGTTCACCAGCTGGTTAAAATCCCGTTGCATGTCAGCACATGGAAGCAGGAAATCAATTGTTTATTTATGTTTACCTTATATATTTACAAATACAGTCTAAAAATAAAGGAATGGCCTGATTCTTTACATCTATATACACACAGGTTTTGTTATGTTTTTCCACAAGTGGTGCCCTGGACATAATAAGATAATGGGAGGACCCCAAATCATAGGTCTAAATGAAGCTGCAAAATACTGGTTTTCACCCTTGAACTACCTTTTATTTGCACATACCAGTATATCATTGTATGACAGTGGCTTTTGAATATGTGTGTTACATAAAACTAATACATTGTTCTTGATTTTGCTTTGCAGTACAGAATTGGACAGCTGTACATGATAAGCAAGCATAGCCATGAGCAGAGTGACCGAGGTGAAGGTGTGGAAGTGGTGCAGAATGAACCTTATGAAGATCCAAACCATGGCAATGGTCAGCTAACAGAAAAACGGGTCTATCTCAATAGGCAAGTGCAATAAAACTATTTCTGTCAGCATGGACTGTAACAAAAGTTTGCGAGGAATATCCCTTCCAGGCAATAGCCTTTCTGTTTCAAGTAGAATTTGTTCCCATGAATACATGCCACTTCCTGGTAGCTGCAGGAAGAAGGAAGGTGAGATAGATCAGTGGCTTGAAATAAAGGGATTAGTTGCCATTTCTTCTAGAGTATCTTTTCTAAGAGAAAGAATTATAACTTGAAGTTAAGGATGTACTGAAAATCAGAAAATTGTTGTCTTTTACACTTAACAGTTTGTCATTCTGTTTTCAAAAATTAGGGAGAGAGGACGACCAAAAAACTAAAAATGAAAAAAACCAAACACCTTGTCCCTCAAAAAGCCCAAACCACTAAAAGGTTTAAGGGTTTCTCACCTCATAATAATGTCACAAAGACAGTATCCGATTTTTGGTGACAAGAGATTTGTCTCAGCGAAATTAATTGACACTGTGAATGACCATTAGGCTTGTACAATGATGACCTTCTGTACCAAAACAGTAGGCTTAAAGACATGATGGAAAAAATTGCTTTTGTTTCCCAAAAGTTCCATAATTTCTTAAAATGAAATATGTATCTCGTCCTATGATGAAATTATACTACTGAGGGTCAATGCCTCCACACTCAAAGGCTGGGGATGTTTTAAATTTCTTTTTTTGTGTGTGTCCTATGAAATATATTGCTCAATCTGTTCCCATTTTTACTACTGCTGATCTAATTCAAAATCACTGCTTTTCTGATGTTCTTCTATTCCCCAGAGCGTTTTGTTTTATTAAACTTATGCTCTGCAGCATTTCGTAGTGGGCATAGAAACACTACAGCTATTGCTTCTACATTGCAAGTTACTCCTCCAGTGCAATCCTGACATATCTAACCTTAATTCAGGCTAAATTGAATCACCAGTAATGTTGCATGCACACACAGACGAGTCCAATAATATATATCTTGCCAACGTTTAATATTATTGTGGTTGTAACTCTGTTCTCTCAAAGGCTAGATATGGGACTTGGTAAAAATCAATAAATGTGTTCCTGTTGTAGAGCTCCCAGAAGTTTGGGCGGTTTATGTTTCTGGATATTTTTTTCCTGCATGTTAAAAAGAGATAAGGCTTTAGGCACTGAAGAGTATATTCAGAATTACGATTTTAAGGTAATTCAGAATAACCACAAAGACTGTGTCCTAGAAAGCTTCTACAACACATACTTGGAAAGCATACAGTTTCTGGTGGTGCAGGCAATGGAACAAAGTGTCTCTTACCCAAAGATGGGTATGAACATTGACAAAGAAGATCTGTGTGCCTACAAGAGCTTGGGAGGTTTACCTAAAGCTACGGTGGCTGTTTCAAGTCAGGCTTACTGAGTTTATCAGTGAGCATTCACAATTATTATTAATCATCACCAGATCTGCTGTTTGAAACTTTCGTGATTCTGGTTTGGTGTCACAATACCACCAGATACTGCATTACTGTTAAAGCTTTGTGACAAGGGTCAGCGGGTTTTCAGGCAACTATGGATTTTGCTGGGAGGCCAGGATCTCTCTGGAAGACCTCACTCAAGCAGATGTGCTGCCATACAAGGTGTGCTGAAAACTGCTCTGCCTGCCCTCCTTGAGGAGTGGGACTCCTTACACCTTCATAATTTTCTGCTTCCAGGGTCCACTGCCCTAATAAACTTGCTAGCTTTGCTTCACTTTACTTTGCTCTGGACTGATCTTTCCTGAAGAAATTTGAGCTTATATATTTCAGTGATGGTTTCTTGGAAACATTTGTGCATTATTTTCATTTATCTTTTCTTGCCTGCTAATACTTTAATTCTTGCAGAGGATCTACTTGCTTACCAGTGGTTTCAGCTGGAATGCCTTTACAAAACATTTCCTCCCTGTGTGGTGACAGACTGAACTTCATCTGGGGAAGGAAGAAATAAAAAAAAAAGAGAGAATGTGATCAACAGATACCTGTGCTGTTAAAATAGAAATATTATATTTTCTTTCTGTGAGCAGACCCTTGGAACAATTCATGTCTGTCTATAACTTGCTGACAATTCTGAAGATAGTGTATGTTTTGCCCATAAAATTATTTGTTTTGAAGATGTGCCATACCAGCAAAGATAGTTAGACAGGCAAATACACTGAAAACAACAATAACCAAAGAAAAGGCGAAATGAGCACCTGTATGTTAATAAAGACATTACCAGTAAAATTTTGTAGTGTCAGTGTACGCCTTACTTATATTCAGAATTGTTTACTGCTACTTCTCTCCTGCTGGGCCTTTCTTTTCAGAAGCTGAAAGTCTGTGTTCTGAGGTATTTGTTATTTAGGCATCAGAGTAAAGTTTAGCAGGGGTAAGAGAGGAGCATGGAGATAGTCATAAAAAGACACTGACAGGGGCTAACAAAAGATCTGATACAGTGAAGTCTGTTACGCGATATGTAAAATGCTGTTTGAAAGACTGTACACAGAAAGGCTTTGTGCAAAGAACAGAATCTGTTTGTAAGCAATGTCATCAAAGAGCAAAAGTCAATGCACTTGACTTTGAATCTTTAGATAATCTACTAACATCTGCATTTTGCCTTGGACAAGTACAATATTTATGTGCAGCTAGATCGTGGTTAAATATGCCTTAGTGATCCAAACCTCTGTATTTTGCCTCAGAGATTTGCTGATATGGAAAGGTGGCTTACTTTCTGCACACCGTTGTCTAAACATAACCGATTCAAACGTTTACACTTGGAAAATTGTGGTTTGAAAGCATCTACTTTAGTTCAGTAAAGATTCAGTCTTAGGCTGGGTGATCTGCTCAGCACATCGCCAGACAACCACAATTTATCCGAGTCCCTGAAGTATGGTGACATTTGCGGTCTCCAAAGGTCTGCCTTCCTTTGAGTGACTAGAACTGCATCTTGGTTCCTAGCAGCTTCAGTGATCTAACTGATGTCATTCAGAGAGGGTAGAAAGATGAATTTTCATGGAATTGCTTTCTTTTTGAAAGACGTGTTTGTTCATCACTTCTTTGGCCAGAGTGACCAGAGTTCTGGAGATGAGACCCAAGATGCATGGTAAAGGAAAGGCTCCCACTCTTCTATAGTATTATTTAATTACCCTTTAATGATCTTTCCACGTGCTGTATCCACATCTTTCATTACTTACTCTACTACTGTTGTACCACCGCATCGGTAAGTTCTCTTGACAGACTGAGCTCTGAGCTGTAACGTCAGTTCTGTGAATTCTCTTCACTTTTGTGATTTTCCCATCAGCAAAATGGGACTAATATTACCTACCAGCCTCACAGAGGTGTTTTGAGTGATTTGTTAATTTTAACGTAAAAGCTTCCTACTCAAGAATTCGTGTTGGTAGTGTGGGAAAAACTGCGCACTAGGTGATTTGAATGTAAGGGTTTGTGTGCCAGCAGAGAACATGGAGGAAGGAGAAATAATGGAATCAGAATCGAAGTGGACTGGCATCACATATTTACTCATGACCTGTTGTTAGAGTGTGCCTCCCTGTGGTTAAGAATACTTGTGACACAGATACACCTTGTACATTCTAACCTGCGGAGTTCGTCCATGACCAAAGGCTTGAGGCCATAAACTCTTGAAATCTGCCACCTCAGTTTAAATCTGACCAGAGGTTATTGCAGTGGCACCAAATTGCTCACTTTGAGAGGGGAACAAACACGCTGGGTTTCGTATATGCTCATGGAGAAATCTGAGACAGAATGCATAGTCATGAGATGAAAATACTGTTGTGAAGTCTAGGTATTGCTGAATCCAGTGAAATACCTGTCAAATTATGAGCACATTTGGAAGTATCTTCTTTTCTACAATACTCATAAGTCATAACACATTCTAATTTTGTATTTTCTTTTTATTTTCAGCAAACTGCCTAGCTGGGCTAGAGCAGTCGTTCCCAAAATATTTTATGTTACAGAGAAGGCTTGGAATTATTATCCTTATACAATCACAGGTAAGGAATAAAGCAGAAATGGTTACTGATGTTACTATTTGCATAGTTTAGCTTATTTTCAGAAGCTCCAAGTTACATATTGAGCCACAGATGCCAGGTTACCCTGTTAAACTGCATATATTTTTCCATCTTGTATTGACAATATCAGGAAGTAAAGATTATAGGCTATGGACAGGTAAAACCTGGAGTGTTATATCCCTGCAATTCCTTCCTTGCTAAGAAAGCATCAAGTGCTTAGATTCTATGCTGACTTGTACCCTTTATTGTCCCATAGACGTTAGTCAAATACAAATCAGCAGATTATCTGACACAAATTTTTTTATTATTAACATATGTTTACTGTAAGGATCTTGCATCATTGTTTTCACTTTTTTTTTTCTTTTCCCTCATCATTCTTTTTTCTGCAAATGGACAATTGGAAATCAGAATACACAGTAAGTTTTTCTTCCTATTTTTATTCTAAAAACAGAATAATTATGTGAAATATAGTATTCCAAACTGATTCCGTCTTAATATAACTAATATATAGTGCATTCAGTAGTGGAACTTTATTTTAGCTATTTGTTTAGAAATATAAGGTTAAATTTGAAGTGTTTCTGTGGGGAGCCTATAAAGTATTTACCTTATTTTTTATCACTTCAAAATAATTTGATATATTTTTAGTCACTGACTGTAACAAATAGAAGCTTCTATAAAACAGGGCAAGGCTTTTAAGGTTCCAGTTATTACATGGAGACATGAGAACAGATTTCATTTTATTTATTGTTTTATTAACTTATAAAATGTTCATCTCTGCTATAGTATCTGGGAAACTGTACAATCTGTAGACAAAATTAAACATAATCTGGGCACAGTGCCCAGAAAAATCAGCTATTCCCTCTAGCAGAGCTAAGGCAAAATATAGCACATAAATCATGAGAAAAATTGTTTTAACTGTGCTGTCCTCAATAATATATGGTAAGTTTTCAGCAGCCTTTGGCAGATGAGGAGGAGATGGTGAGGAAGTTCCAGGGGAAGGGACTTTTCGGAAACTGCTTGATTTAATTTAACTTCTGACTGTAGATAAAACATAATCCACTTGGTTTTCTTAACGCTGAAGTGCTCAAAATGTTTGTGCACTGTGCAAAATGTTTTTTAAAGCCAGTAAATACGGAAAGGAAAAAGGTTTTAATATGATAAATGTGAAAAAATAAAAGGATTTAAAGGCTCAGGTCTGAAAGCTGGAGACTTAGAGTTGAAACTTGGATGACCAGGTTTGAAAATCCAAAGTACCAAACTGTTTTTCAGTATGTACTGTAGATACTTATTACATATTCTGCTTTGTTTCATGTTTAAAATTGAAATTATCAAAACCAAACACCAATGCTGCACTTGTAGAATTTGAATTGAGAGGTGATCTTTATCTAATCTGATGAGACAACACCTGGAACACATTATGGTGAAGGTCTATAGAAGGTATACTGCTACAGAGATGTTCCAGAGCGTCAGCAAAAATGATTGCAAGGTTGAAGAGACTTGTAAAGAAAAATTAAATTGGTCTACAAATGTGGAACGTAGTCAAAGCAGTCACTAAGTGACAGTATAACTGCCTATGGGAGTTGGGGACTAATTACTCACCGTGGTGCAAGGAAACAGAACTAGACATACTGGGATCAGATTAAGGAAACTGTATTTCACACAAAAATCTAAAATATATTTTAGTGGAGCTGATAGACTATGAAATTATCTTCAAGGGAAACAGAGAAAGTGCCTTTGCCTCAAACTGTTGTATCTAGAACAAAAATGTTAAATGTATCACTGGGAATAATTCCTGTCCTTGTCTGGAATATTTCTCTAAATTTTGATCTTCTATATTCATTAGAGAATTCTGAAAGAAAGAATAAATGCACAGACATTGCCCAAAATATATAAGATAGCTTGGAAACCCTTTTCTTGAAGATAGTAAATTCCCTCCAAAGAGTCTGTAGGATATCATAAGAATTAAATTTGGCCTCATTTCAAGGAAAACTGATTCTATAGGCAGGCTAATAATTGGATAAATAAAGCATAATCTTATTGACTCAAGTACATACTGCTATATTGTATGTTCACACCTTGCTTAACCTCGTTAAGTTCCACTCTAAATAAAGAGCAAGGACTTTAAAGGCTCAGTAGTGTTATTTCAGTGTATGTTAGTGGTTTGGAAGAGGATGTGAACAACAGACTGGATCTTGCTGATAGTCTCAAGGTTTTTCAGTTGTAAAAGACAAAGGCTGTTGAGAAATTGCATTCAAGCACATACACTAGCATTCAGAGATTCAACGCAGAATAATTTAATCAATCTGGTTTTCCTGTGAAATATTATGGATTTCATAAATATGACCTTCTTAAGGACCTGAAATTAGGACATCTTCTAAAAAAAAAAAAGCTTGGCAGGCACTGAAAATAATCTCCAGAATATTGTTCTCTGCAATGGTAGTACAAAAAGTCAAGAGTGCTCAGATGCATGAAAACAGGAATGGAAATGAGAGTGTCATGATGTTAGTACTCTGTAATCTGGGTCCAGTTATGATGGCATCTGCTTTAAGGAATGGTATTTGTTACACAGCAAAGCCCTAATTTTGGCAGCAAACAGCAGGAGATGACTGCTTGGTCTACTACCAAGTCTCGACAACCATATTAATAGTACGTAAAGCAAATGACACACTTAAGATAATGCGCTTAACAGAACTATTGCACAAGTGATGTGTTTGTGATGTGTAATATGTGAAATATTGTAATGTCAGGAGAGCATTTTTAAATGTTCACTGTGCTGTTTGTGGAGGAGGGCCTCATTAAAACTGTAATACAAAAGACTTCCTATCAGGAAGATGAGACGTGGGTAATATCCCAAGAAATGCTGTATCAAAGCCTGAGCGGATCCTTGCAAGCTTCCTCTTGACATTGAAAGGGAGGAGGAAGTAGAAAAAATATTCCAAAGCTGAAGCCAAAGGAAGTCATCCTGATTTGGGGGTACTATTTGGAGAATAAAATACTCCTACAAGTTCAAATACTTGTTTTGGTGGCTGGGGCATTACTTAAGAACTGTATGTGAGAAAGTCTCTTAAACTTAGAGCAGGCGTTGCTTTGGTTTTGATCTTGTGATAGAAACCTGACAAGGTGTCTTGCCAAAATAAGTGTTTAAGTTTTATTTATAAGTTCGTTGAATATTGTGATTGATATTAAGCTCATAAATTTGGGATACTGTATTTGGGATGCAGCTGAACAGAGCCCTATAGAAGTAACTCCTAGGGACTCTGCTCTATGAGCAGTTACAGGACTTGGGTACTGGTGGGGGCCTCCTGTCACACTACACACGCTGTTGGGGAATGGCTGTTGCTGGCTGCTGGCTTTTAGAAAGATTTCCTTTGCTTTGCTAGTCACGGGCTGGAACCTTTTTCACCTGGAAGATGGAGGAAAGATGCCTTGCAGCTCTCAACAAACCCTTATGTGCCAGCTTATCACAGCATTTGCAAATATGTATCTTTAGTGTAAAATATTTATGCTATTCTTAGATATGTGCACAAGAATGACTGAACTCTCAGGAGGCTTTCCTATTTCTCTTTCTAAGGTTGTCCAGCTAGATTAGAAATAATTAACCAGAAAGCAAACCTGTCTCTATTTCAAACCAAATGAAGAAGGATTGCATAGAACTAAGTTTCTTTACCTGCACCGAGCTATTGTTAGACAATAAGCAGCACAGAGCAAATATCCATTTGACCTGTTCAAGCGACAGTTGAGATTCTGGACAAAATGAGAGGAGCCTCTGGCAAACAAATAATCAGATCACGAACGTATGGTGACTCAACCATAGTACAAAAAATTCACATGATCAAAGTACACTGAAAATAAGCCTAACAAAGTTGAGCTATCAAGTTGGAGTACAAAGAGGTTAGGAAAAAGACAAACAGAATTTAAGCAAACTCTTCTGACTTTGAAGGTGCAGTTCAGGTGTTTACTGGGGATAATTTCAAATAGTTTTGCTCTCTGATCTGAATAGCTCCAGTGTTGTTAGCAATATTCCAGTTCTGGGGGTGAATTTTAAAAATGGCTGTATAATTTTTTATGCATAATCTATGTCCAATTGTTAGTTTCACAATTATAAGTATATAAAGCAAACTAAACACTAAAAATGGCATGTTTTTCTCTCTGCAAGGAGGAAGAGCAGTCTTTCTACCTGCTGATGTCCCAAATTAACTTAGGAATAGCATATCAATTCAGAATATTTATGAAAAACAGTTATGGAACAGAAAGCAGGAGACAATGATTCCTTTGATGTATCACAATGACACTAATTCTTCTACAGCAAATGACTGAGGCAAATAAAATCATTTCGTCTGGTATGTGTCGAGGCCTCAGAGTGATAGCTGCTAAATGTTCCGTTATTGACCTGCTGGTTTCTGATTGCTTCTGAGAACAGGCGTGTTACGTGCTTCACTTAGTCAGCTGCTAGTTTATCCATGAAGTAAATTATCTGGAAGGAATGTTTTTGTAATTATTATTTTTATAATCAGAGGACTTGAGAAGGAAAAAAAAATGTTTCAGATAAACGTTGCAAGGAATCTGTAGAGTTTTTTTGCTGTGTTCTCTTTATCTGATTACTAGTGCTTGAAGTTTGGATGTAACCCATCAGTCTTCAGTGCACAAACTTTTCTCCAGCTTGACTATATGAAGAGTCTGCATCAAAAATGCCACAGAATCTGTACTGCAGGATTAGAGCCTAATATGAAGTTACTACCAAAATTCCTCCCCTCTCACCCCCCAACTTAGAAGACAGGGTAACTGGTGACGTTACTCTAGTAAAACACATATTTGATTCCTTTAGAGATTCTAGCAAAAGGAAGGACGTCTGTAGTATTTATAAAAAACAAATACTATATTTTTAGAAAGCTGCAAACCTGTATTCTCACTGGATAGCTTAATCCCATTGAAGCAGAGTAAATCAAACTGCTTGGGAGAATTCCCTTTTTCCACCGCTGTCTTATTATAAAGCAATCCAAACCTCTCTCTGATTCATGGGACTGTCATTTTCGCTTCTGCACGCTCCTTCTCACTTCCGTTCTTCCTCAATAAACAGGTTACTGTTCCCACGTATCAGAGAGGGAGATCCTAAAGGGAGGCAACAACAGAGATAAGTGCTGAGTTTTGTAGTGGTTGGAGGCAACTTACTAGTTGACTGTTTCATCGTCAAGTTATTGTATGTAAAACAAACAAATAGTGGTTTTCTTCCTGAGCTTGTTTATGAGAGTTTAACTCCCTTGCTTATTTTCAAGCCCTTTTTTTGCATTGTTCTTACTCTTTCCACTCAAGAGCACTTTTTCTGCTCTTTGCCACCTTCCGGTGCTTATCTTGCTTTCCAAATTCTCCCTCTCATTGAGTCACATCTTCCAAGTTCTGCCATCACCCTGCCCAGCCC